GAACAATACTGGATGACAGAAATATCAAAATGGTTTACAAATTATGTAAGTACACCAGTAGGCTATACTTTATTAGTTCCAAGTTTACAGTTGTGATATCGTGAGATGTTATATTGTGACTTTATTTTAGGCCTGTGTAAGGCTGTAATTAATTTTTTATGTTATTGTCATTAAGTGGGTAATGAGTTACAAAACAAATAATCAAAACATTTCAGAGGTGGGGGCACCAAAAGTGTTTTTGCCCCCGGGTGCTGGGAACCCTTGCTACGCCACTGCTAATATTGGTGCACAAAACTTAATGTAAGGTAATAAATGCCAAGTGTTTTTTTGGTTCAAAGTTTTCCTTAAAAACAGTCAAAATAAAAAATTGATTTAATAGACAACTGTGTTTGTTTTTTGGTTTAGGAAATGCTGAGACCTCTGGTGGAGATAGCATTACAAATATCCCAGCTACGTGAATTAACAGGAAGACAGGAACCAACTGTTATCACCTAATCTGCCACTAAAGGGCAACCACTGTTCATGATTTATGTTTAAGATCTTTCTTCTTGCTCATTTGAAGTGTCTCACAAATTATTATTTTTACCCATTTAACATTTTTATTGAACTTAATATATTGTTCTTAAAATTTTCTTTTACTTTTTTGTTTGATAAGGTTTGTTATTGAAATTATTTTCCTGTTGAAATAACAGCTATGCTTTGATACATCATGCACTCACATGTATGAAATACCACTTGCAGTGAAAAGTTTCAAATAAGAGCCAAGTTATATTTTCACCATTCAGAATGAACAGTGGATTTCATTATTACAGTCCACAAAACATCATAAGTGCATATGCTTGCTTTTCTTCTCCTAAATGTTTGTCTTTGAAGTCTTACAACAGTATCAATAAAACTGTTCCATGCATGTATACTTGGCTGTGTACATGAAAGGCTGGTTGACATGAACTTTGCTTTAGGCCTTGCAAAGCTTTTCATCTCTTCCAATATCAGAGTGTATCTAGCTGAAAAAATAGTTTGATTTGAAGGATATCAATCTTGGAATCTCAAACAATGTGTGTGTGTGTGTGTCTAAGCTGAATTAGACTATTTTGCTGAACAGACAGTTTTACATGTAGAATATAAATCTGTGACATCTATGTAAACTGAATTGGGCTGTATCTTGCTGAACAAACAGTTTTACTCGTGGG